CCGGATTGGCCGCGTGCAAGGCAAACGCCCTACCCACTGTGCTATCTCTCCAGCCCCATCCCTGAAGACTTTAAACAGAAGCCCAGTGACAGGGCTAGAGTTTTTGAGCCCATAGCCAGGGAATCTCCAAGCCTACCAGAGGAAATTCTCTCCCTCTCATTCCTACACACAGACATGCCCACATCACCCAGTAAACACACACACACACACACACACACACACACACACACACACACACACGCAAAACTTCTGGAAGGATGAATATATTCACAGGCAATTCATAGAACAGTGTAAGCCAGGAGGTGAGAGGCATGTTTATCTCTGGTGTGTGCCCCAGCCCCACCTACAACATTGATACATTATAAATATGTATTGTGGGACCAGGGTGATAGTATAGCATGTTGGGTGTTTGCCTTGCAGGCTGCCAACCCGGGTTCAACGCTGGGCATCACATATGATTCACCTAGCCCATCTGAGAGCAGAGCCAGGAGTAAGCCCCTGAACATCACAAGGTGTGGTCCAAAGCAACAACACAAACAACAACAATTTTGTTGGAGAGCCAAAGTGATAGTACAGATGGTAAGGCTCTCGTGTGGCCAATTCAGGGTCAATGTCTGCATCCCATATGGTCCCCTGAGCACTAGCAAGAGTAATTCCTAAGAGAAGAGCCAGGGGCAACCACTGAGCACTGCCAGGTGTGGCCCAAAAACAAAAACAAAATTTTGTTGGGTGAGGGAGGTATTTCAATAGGTTAGACAAGCATAATACATGCCTGATGCCCTGAGTTTGATCCCTGCTATCATATGACTGCCCCAGAACTCTACCCAGGAGAGCCCTGGTGGATATCCTCTGTACTATCTCTATCTCTCCAGCACCCTGGCAAAACATATTTTAGAAAGGGAAATTTAGGAACAGTGCAATGGTACCCCAGTTGGGGGCATGCCTTGCACACTATCAACCCAGGTTTGAACCCTAGGATCACATACAGTTCCTCCAGCCTGCCAGGAGAGATCCCTGGGCACAGAGCACAGGAATAAGCCCTGAGCACTGCTAGATATGGTCCCAAAGCCAAAATAAATAAATAAATTTTTAAAAATAGGGATTGGGGGGCTGGAGCAATAGCACAGCAGGTAGAGCATTTGCCTTGCACGCAGCCAACCCGTGTTCGATTCCCAGCATCCCGTATGGTCCCCTGAGCACCACCAGAAGTAATTCCTGAGTGCAGAGCCAGGAGTAACCCCTGTACATAGCCAGGTGTGACCCAAAAAGGAAAAAGAAATAGGGGCTGGAGCGGTAGTACAACAGGTAGGGCATTTGCCTTGCATCTTGCCAACCCAGGTTAGATTCCTGTCACCCTATATGGACCCCTGAACCCTGCCAGGAGTAACTTCTGAGTGAAGAGCGAAGAGTAAGCCTCAACATTGCCAGGTGTGGTCCAATCCCCCCTCCATTTTTTTTAATAAAAAGGGAAGTTTGTTGAAACAATGACACATAATGCAATATATATGGACGTCACACAGAGGTGTCACATATAAGCCACATTTACACGAGCTCGATCATACACATAAGTGACTCAGAAAACCTTTTTTTTTTCTCCCGGTAACTAATTTTATTCCAATTTAACAGTTTATGTAACTGTCCTAGGGCGCTTGGCCCAGGCCTAACAGACACAACCCGAACTATCCACCAGGTGGCACTCTACCGCCACTCCCTGCACTCCTCAGTGTCACCAAAGGGGTCGTCTCTCTCGGCCCCCGGCGCGAAACTTGGCGGAGCCCGGAGAACCTTGAGCGATCAGCCCCCAACTCTCCTTCCCCGCCCCAGCGGTTAAAGTGTCCTGGCTCCCCAAAGTCTGCAATGGATCTCGACTCTCCCAGGAATTAGGACCATCCTCTCTGGCTCCAGGTCTCCCATCGAGGGGGCTGGCGGCCCCCCTTGGGGTTCCAAGTAGGCTCAGCGCTCACAGCAGTCCCATATACAATAAAAAAAAAAAACAGGGGCTGGAGGGGCTGGAGCAATAGCACAGCGGGTAGGGCGCGTTTGCCTTGCACGCGGCCGGCCCGGGTTCGATTCCCAGCATCCCATATGGTCCCCCAAGCACCGCCAGGAGTGATTCCTGAATGCAGAGCCAGGAGTAACCCCTGAGCATCGGCTGGGTTTGACCCAAAAAGCAAACAAACAAACAAACAAAAACAGGGGCTGGAGCGATAGTCCAGCGGTGGGAGCGTTTGCCTTGCATGCAGTCAACCCAGCTTAGATCGCCGGCACGCATATGGACCCTTGGAGCACCAACCACCAGGAGTAAAGCCGCTCCCCAGAGACGGTCGCCGGGGGGGGTGGGGGGGGGGGGCCCTGGCTCTTCCGCACACACGCGGCTCCTGCGCATCCAGCCACACACGACTGTGGTTCCCTTTACGCTGTGCGCCGCACACCTGCCCCGCGTAAGGACCAGACAGACGCACCGTCGTGGCGAGCCACTCGGTGCAAGACTGAGCCGGCGGGTGCTGGGGTTCCGTCCACCCCGGGTGGGGCCGGTCCGGGTTAACCCTTCCTACCCGGGTCGGAAGGAAGAGCGCGCGCTGGCTAGCCTTCAGGAAACCGTTTACAATCCCGGGGTGGAAGGATAGGAGAGGGAACCGGACCTGCCCCGCTGGTGGTGGGGGCCACCCCCGATCAGTTCCCCGGAAAAGCCTCGTGGCGTCGGGTGCGGGTTCGAGCGGCTGAGAAGCGCCAGGCAGGCTTGGGGAGGCTTGGGGGGAGGCGCGGCCGCGGGTTCCGGCAGCCGCGCAGACCCCCCTCCTCCTCCCCTCTCCTCCCGCGGGAGCGGCGGGAAATTATTTATTAAAACGCCGCCCGCGCTCTCATTTATTTGCGGTGAATAATCCTCGGCATCTCAGCGCGTTTATTAAACCTTTCCCGTCCCCGCATTACTTTAATAATAAATCGCGTGTCACTTTCCAGCGATGTTATTAAAGCCATCGGCGGGAGCGGAGGGGAGGGGGAGGGCGCGGCACCCGCTCCCCCTCTGCAGGCTGCGGGGCCTGAAGCGGCGGGGTGGGGGGGGCTGCGGAGAAAGGGGAAACTGAGGCTCGGCGGAGGCGGCACCCGGACATCCTACACAGCTGGCCTGCACCGTCCAAGAGTCACGACGGGACCCGGGGGCGTAGAATGTTCTGGAACCCGGTGAAGCCTCTGAACCGCAGGTGGGTGCCGGTAGGTAGGGGGCGCCCCCAGCTGAGTGGCCACCGGGAACAACCCCCTGAAAAATGCCAAGTGCAAAGGGAGAAGGGGGGTCAGACCTACCTCGCCCTTTTCAGGCCAGAGCAGGACCCTTTACCCTACATTGCCACAACACCTGCACACCTCTATTTCTGCTTCTGGAAATTCGCCCCAAGAGTCCACCCTGCAAGAGGGCAAAGGGGTGGTACAGTGGGGAAGGTGCCTGCCTCGCCTGCAGTCAACCTGGGTTCGATCCCCAACACCACTTACGGTCACTGAAATGCCACCAAAAGTGATCCCTGAGCACAGAGCCAGGAGTAAGTCCTGAGTACAGCCAAGTGTGGCCCAACAAACAAATCCCAGACTTGAGAAGTGGGGTGCAGCTGGGAATGTGGGACTGTAGTCAGAACCCCTGGGGAAGACTATCCTCAACCTTATCCCCGGGTGCAGGGTGGGGGGGCAGTTCCTGGCCATGCCCCTTCTAACAGAGTGGCTGGCGCAGCTGATGCAGGGGACAGGCTCAGACACTCAGCCAACAGTCCATGTCTGCCAGGCGGTGCCAACTTCCATCCCACCCACACACTTGGACGCTGGGTCTGGGCGCTTCAGCTTTCAACAACTTTCTCCTTCAGTCACGAGGCACTGTACCTTACTCTGATCGGAGGCTGGGGGGGGAGGGGGGGGCAGAACAGTGCAGCTTTGTGTGGGACATCCAGCCCTCCCAGAGGAGGAAGCTGACTCTCTATCCAAGACTTGGGTTCCAGAGGAGAAAAATTGGGTGGATTACTAGGGGGAATCCTAGGGTGAGTGTGCAAGGAAACAACTAACCCTCCTCCATCCAGCGCATGCTTATATTAGGGCTCCTCCTGGACAAGTCCCCCACTCTTCCTGGGGAGAGGACCGGAGTGAGGTGAACAGAGGATGGCGGATGTATTTCCAGACAGGTAGGAGTAGTCTGGGAGCTTCCCAGTCTGTCCACCTGGTGGGCGTGTGCTAAGAGCAGGACCAGTGACTCCTGGAAGCAGAGAGGCTGGAACAGTCTTCCCACGCTTGCCTGCCCGTATGAACCGTGTGCTATGAACGGTGAGCATCCTTCCATCTGTTTATCCAGAGATCTTTATTGGGTGCTGCTGTGCCTAGTTCCAGGTGAGGCACTGTCCCAGACACTCCCAGCGTCAGAGAGGGGAGCTGCTCCAGGTGCTCCCCCCAGGGCAGGGGAAATGATCCAAGGTGATCCCACCACACCCATCTGGCCACACTGCTCGGCTCTCCTGGGGAGATAAGAAAAATGGGGACTCAGAGGAGAGGGGAAATTTCTAGAAGGTGAGTTTTAAAGACAGGTACACTGAAGGTGGGCAAAATTGGGGGGGGTTCTCCGAGCTATGGGAAGGGCAGTTAGCAGAGCTGGCTGAGTGAGGACAGAACTCAGGGCAACCCGAGGGAGGGCTACAGAGAAATGGGGACTCTACTCTGCAGTTGATCCCCCAGCTCCCCACCAGCTAGGCACCTGCAGCAGCTGTGACCTTCAAGTCACTGGTCTGCTAGTTTTTGGGCACTGCTGGCCAAAGCATCCCATGAAGGGCCACTTAACACCCCACCACTGACTCTGCCTTTCTCTCCTCATCCTCAGCTTCTGTCTCCCAACCACCACCTCCAAGAGCTCCCTTACTTAGGGCATTAAGGTGACATGGGAAGGGTCCCTGCTTCCCCATTCCAGGCTTTTCCAAGAGCAAGGGTGGACACTGGGGCCACTCACCCAGCCTATGGGCCAGGGCACTGACCTAGTAGTAATCTTCGCCCTCTTCACTCTCAGCCGCCTCCCCAGGAAGCAGGTGTGGGCGGAGGAACCGGGAGAGGCTCGTGGAGTTCAGCTGGTCTGCAAATACGCGTGGGCAAAGGAGAGAAGGAAGGATCGGGACTGGCAGTGCCCGCCTGCCCCAGACTGGGGGGAGAGGCACATCCACTCCAAGGTCAACACCCACCCCCCCAGCCCGACCTTCCTAGGGGGCGCCCCTTACCTGGGGTGAGCACTGTCAGGCTGGCGGGAGCCTCAACCTGGCCCAGGGTATTGCGGGCCAGGCAGCGGTAGGTACCCTCATCACTGGGACGCACAGCCTGGATCTGCAGCCATCCTGTCACCTCAAACCTCTGGGGTCCCCCCCTAAACTGGAACCAGAAGAGGAGTCAACAGAGTCTCTCTTGAGGGAGGAGGCTGGGCTTCCCATGCTCTGCTTCCCGCCCCTACCTGCACGGAGACATGGGGGTCATCCCCAGGCAGCTGGTTGTCCAGACCATCTTTCCTCCACTCGATGGAGGCCATGGGGTAGGCAAACACCTCACAGCCGAATATCACATCTTGCCCGGTCACATTCCAAATGTCATATGGGGGTGACACGATCTGAGGTTCTGGTGGGTGGCGGGGGGTGGGGGGCAGAAGGCAAGAAGAATCCTGAGAACAGGGCACACACCCTTGCCTCGTATTAGAACCGCGCGGAAGGTGTCTTGGATAGTGGGGTAAATACACTGTCCTAAACACAACCTGAAGCGCGGTGGTCCACAGATGAAGGGAGACCTGCAAATGGGCTGTGCAAATACCCTCTCCGAGCTCACACTGTCCCTAACTGCCCCCCCCTGTCCTCACTCGGCACCCCAGCCCGCTCCACACCTGCACATCCTGCCTGGCGGGTAACCCACACCTCCTTCCTCCCACCTCGCCTTTACAAGCCAGTTCCCAAAGGCCCCCAGAGCCAGCCGCCCTTCCCCCTCCCCACCCTCTGGAGCCTTCCACGTGGCAAAGACCGAACCTGAAACCCGACCTGGGCAGCAGGCAGAAAGCCCAGGGAAGTTGGGGCGGGGAGAAAGTGTGGGGAACCCCGCCGAGTGTTTGTTTTCCTCGCCGTGCAGCCAAATCGGACATCCCACCGGGGCTCAGGAAGTGAAAGTTCCTAGTGGCGGAAGAGACTAGAAGACTGAGCAGCCCGCAGCTCCCTGGGGTGGGGGACCTGGAAGCCCCTCCTTGGCTAATGCCCCCACCCCACCGTCTCGCGCAGAAGAGGACAGGGGCCAGCAGTGGGAGACGCGGGGGAGACTGCAGCTTGCAGGGCGAGATTGTCTTTAACTGGTGCCCGATTTCCCTGCCTGGGCTCCAGCGGCTCAGGGCAAGTGTGGGAGTCTCTTCCCCCTCTAAGCCTTGAGGCCGAGCACTGGCGCCGCGCCCACCCCTCAAAGGCGCGCTCTCTGCCAGCCGGGTGGAGCTTCCACGTGCCTTGGCGGTCGCCGCTTGCCGACAAAGCTGGGGACTCGCACCTTCAAGGCGGCTCCACTACCCTCTCCGTCTGTCCTCCTCTAATTTTTTTAGCTTCGCTGGCCAGACGTCGATACCGTCGCGGGGAGCACTGCCTCCTCCAAGAACCCCAAAGCGCAAGCGGAAAGGTGTCCCCAAACCCGCCCCGGGGCGGTGCATACCCGATTCACAGGGCCCGGGGTGCGCCACCGTGAGGTTGGCGTCGGGCCGCCCGCGGGCCGCCTCCTGCAGGCGGCAGATCTGCGGGTAGGTGCGGCCGTCGGAGCCGCAGAGCGGGCGCTGCGAGCGGCAGGCGCACAGCGGCTCGGGCACCTCTCCGCGGCTCAGGTCGCCGCCCGCGTCCAGCCGGCACTCCAGCTGCTCGCCGCAGTGCCCGTAGAAGTGGGTGGTGGGGTCCAGGTCGCAGAGCTGGCCCTCGAGGTTGGCGCATTCCCAGCAGCAGCCGCACGCGTCGCGCACCCGGCCGGCCAGGCAGCCCCGGGGCGCGGCGCACTCCTCGGGCCGGCAGGACGCGCAGCCCTCGCCCTCCGCCAGCAGCCGCAGCCAGCCGCGCCGCAGGTACTCTGGGCCGGGGGACGGCCGCGCGCTGGTCGGGGAGGCCAGCAGCAGCAGCAGCAGCAGTAGCAGGGGCAGCGCCGAGGCAGGCGCGGGCGGCGGCGGCATGGTTAGCTGGAAGCCCTGCGAGCACTCGGGGCATCAGCGAGCTGGTGGCACTCTGCCGGGGAGGGAAGCCAGGTCAGAGGGTCAGAAGCGACCTCGCGGCTCCTGGGCACCAGAGCCGGACCTTAGTGCTGCTCCCTCCCCTGCTGTCCTGGCCTCAGGAAGACCCTCGCCACGGAAGGCCCTCGAGGGGGCATCCCGTTATGCCGGGTGGCAATTGGTCGGAGATGTTCCTGAGGGGTCGGGTAGGGAGAGGGGAGAGGAGAGGGTGATAAAGCTCGGTCATGCGCAGAACATACGTTGAGCACCTCCCCCCAGAACCACCACCGCCACACACCCTCTCAATCTGACGCTCCCTGCCCTCGAGGTGCCTGGGAATAGGTGCAGAAGCAGACTTGAGGCTGTTCCCAGGGCGCAGGGAGGTAGGGGTGACGCCTCAGACCCAGGGTGCTCACCTAGTGTCCAGCACTAAGCCTTGCCAACGAGTCTGGATGTCCGAGCAGCAGAAGCGGGGAGTGGAAGGCGAGCGGGGCCGCCCGCCGCCACCCCGTCTCTGCCTCGAGGACTTGGACTCGGAGAGCAGCTCCTCCGCCCACCCCTCTCCCCGCCCCTCGAACCGTACCCCCACCCCTGCCAACTACACGCCCTCTCTTTCCCCTACTTCTCAAGACTGCCAATTTTCTGTGGCCGCACAGGACCTCGCGGACCTGTCCCCCCCGCCTCCCACCCCCCCGGCCCGGGCCCCAGTGAAAGCCGAGGTGCTGTAACCGAACACCCCAGCTGGGAGCTCGGAGGGGAGGAGCACGCGGCTTCGGTGGGAGGCGCGGGGCGGCGGGGGTCCCTGGGAGGCTCGGAGAGCTGCCTTAAAGAGCTAGGCCTTGTCCCCAGCGACCTGGCGCTCCTAAGGGTCTGCAAAGGGAGGGAGGAGTCCCGGCGAGATCGCTCTCCCTGGGGGAGGGAGGGGAGCGCAGAGTCAACCGACGTCGCCTCCCCGCAAACCCACGGCTCCCCGGGGGCGATTGCAGGTTTGTGCATCCAACTTCCCCCACCAAGGCGCCGACCAGAGACGCTGTGCTCCCATCTGTCTCCCCACAGCTGGCCTCCTCCCCTCTCCCCATATCCGGCAGGTGCCTCAACCCACGGATGAGCGAGGTAATTAGAGGTTCCCGGCCGAGCAGCGGCTGCAGGGAGAGGCGGGGATGGGGTGGGGTGGGGTGGGGGATGGTGGTGATGGGGGGGCGGCTTCCTTTTTGCGGGCGTCGCTCGGGGTTGGGATTATAGGTTAGGGTTTGCTAGGCCGGCAGTGCCCGAGGCATCCGGTCTCGCGGCCACCAGCGCCACCGTGGCACTTTGGGCTGGAAGTGGGGAGGAGAGCGTTCCTGGAGACCCGCCCACTCGACTGAGGGTCCGCCAGGCTCCGCCTAGCGGGTCCCGAGCGTTTCCCGAGAGCTGCACCGCGGTACGGACGGCGAAGGGCAGCGAGCGCGCTGCTTTGAAGCCGACAGGGGGCAGTACTGAGCCATGCTCCGCCCACCGGGGGGCTCGCGCCGGGCCGCTCCGCTAGGATTGGAGCCTCTCGGGACCCACCGGAAGTCGGGGGCGGGGCCTCGGCCTCCAGACCGCCGGGGTCGCGGTGGTGGCCGTGGCAGCCTCGGGTGCGCGTGGTCCCGGCAGAGTGAAGTGGGCCCCCTCCTCTCTTCCCCGGACCAGGCCCAGAAACCTCCCTCCCGCCCAAATTGAGCCCGGCTAAGCCCCTCTCATTGTAGGGTTCCCCCCGCCGCGTCCGAGCCACTGCTGGCGAGAGGCTGGCAAAGGTGGCCGGCACGGTCAAGCCCGCGCCGGGGCACTCGAGAGGGACCGGCCAGCACACCTCACGCGAGGTCTTGCAACTGTCGCGATAATCAGAACAGGAAGTCTGGGGATTCGGAACAGGAAAAGCCCGCGGGTTTGAAGGCGGAAAGAGAGGAGGCGGAGCTCGCTCTGGCGGAGAGGCGTGGGCCATCCTTGTCTTTGGGGCCAGCGCCAAGTGTGGGCGTGGGGCCCAAGTGAGTCGTCAGAGAACCGCGGGAAGCTCCGGGGAAAGAGAGGGAGAGAGGGACTTGAAATGAGCTGAGCTGCCTTAAAGGAGCCACCCCAGGTGAGCAGTCTCTGGCTCCGAGTTATAGAAAGACCTTGGAAGACAGATGGTTTACTGGACTCAAGAGAGGCCGCCGTCCAGGAACGCAACGAATTGTCACTGGCTATTTCTAATGCTTGGAGTCAGTGTTGAAAGAAGCTCCGCACACCTAGGAACTCATCACTTGAGTGTAGCCGTTGTTTACTTTCAGTCTTTGCAGTACTTAAGCTTCTGGTGTTATAAATCGTGCCCAACTCGTGCGTGTATCGTGTGGATCTAGCCCTGCGCCTAGCCGCACAGTGAATTCTCGGTAAATATTTGTGGATTAAATGTGAAAGCTTGAATGTGAAAGTCAAGTTTAACCTGGATTTTCAGAGTCGCTGATGGAAAAAGCTGAGTTAGACAAGGAACGAGCGCCCTCTGGTGGGCTTGCTGTTAGTGACGAGACCATGACCGTGCACGAATGAATAAGCAACAATGTCGACATTATGACTACAGATGTGCTTTGATTTATTTTTGTTTCGGTTTTGGGCCACACCGAGGATGCACGAGGCTGTTCACACCTCTCTTAGCTCTGGGTTCGCACCCTGGCCTCCCGCATGCAAAGCATGCATTCACCTATTTGAGCTATCTCTCCAGCCAAGATCTACTTTTATTATTATTTTTTATTTTAGGGGACCACACCTAAGTACTCAGAGCTTATTCCTGGCTCTGCACTTAGGGAAACACTCTTGGTGGTACTGGGGGGACCACACATAACAGGGATTGAACCAGGTCGCCTGTGTGCAAGCAAACACCTTACTTGCTATACTGTCTCTCTGGCCAAGATCTGCTTTTATTAAGTAAAGATGCTGTTCCAGGAAGCACCACATATTGTCAAAATTCTTTTAGAAGAAAGTTGCTTCCATAAGATATCATTTAAGGTCTAGATACATTCTGGGATCCTCATCATCTGGAGCTTTATCCACTAAGGATCCACAAGAAGTTCTACTGGCATATTTTTGTATATTCATTCTTTGAAAATGTTGCTTCAGTTTAAACAGGCTGTCCAGAACCACAGTAAAGGAGTTTGATCAATATCATGTGAGTGATGCAAGGAGAGAAGCCAGATGCTGGTATCCTTCATATCTTCACGAGAGACTAGATTCACAAGAAGGTGAAGTAGAAATGTTGAAAAGCAGATGATTCTGCCTCTTTCCCGCCCCCACCTTTTCTTTTAGATGCTTGTATTGAAGAAGAAATGAGAAAGAGAAGTTTGCTTTCCATTGTGAATCTTGTAGCTCAGATTTCTGGCAGATTCCTACCCATGAAATAACTGAAACATAGAGCCGCAGTCTAAGCTCATGCCTTGCATGCAAGAGGCCTGAGGTCTATTCTAGCAACACATGATCTCTGAGCATTGCCTACGTACTGCCCTTTAAATACACACACACACACACACACACACATACACAAACACGCACTGAGGGAAATGACTGGAATATGACAATGAAACAAGAAGTACAAATGAACAACTTAAGATGAAGCAAGGCAAAAAGTGTGTCTTTTGGTAATAAATTACTTGGGAGGACCCACATACTCTAACCTGTGTCTAATATGCATCCTATTTTGATACAGCTGGTAAAAATAGTGGGGCTGTAACTTGAAGGAAGAAGCAGAAGTGAAACAAATAATCAGACTGACTCATTAGGGATGCTACAGAGGAATTGCTCTTCCCCTGAACATTAGAAACAGTTAAGTCAAAGAAAGCCAGATATAGACAATTAAGACAAAACAACCTAAGGCTAGGTACCATGACAATTAGGTGAATTTAGCCAAAGTAAATTTGTAGGTAAACAATGTGAAGAAAAAAGAAAAAGTACATGGATACTGACCACAACTGTAAATATTTATCAAAGTGTAAATGCTTATCATTAATAAACAGCCTAAGAGAATTTGGAGTGAAGCAAATGGTTGAATGTAATGTTCACTATTTGTTTATTTTTAAGATTATTTTTCATAATAAAAAGTAGAGGTTATTTTTATTGGTAAAGAAGGAATGTAAAAAGTTGGTTCAGCCAGGATGGGAAGCTATGCATTATAAGACAATACAAATGATGTGACTAAATCAAAATGAGGATGCCCAAAAGACTAGCCTTCTGGAATACCTGGTATAAAGCAAGTTGAATTCTAAGATATACTGAAAGGGATGCAGAAAATAGCTCAAAGGGTTTGAGAGCATGCATGAGGCCCAGGTTTGAGCCCTGACACTGCCAGGATCAACCCCTGAGCACTTCACTGAGAGTAGCACCTGAGAACTGAGTATGGCCTCAACACAAAATATAAGAAGAGGGATGGAACAATGGTACAGAAGGTAGGGCATTTGCCTACCACATGGCTGACCCAGCTTCAATCCCCAACACCCCGTACGGTTCCCAAGAACTGCCAGGAGTAATTCCTGAGTGCAGAGCTAGGAGTAAGACCTGAACACTGCCTGGTGTTGCCCAAAAAACAAAACAACAACAACATATATATGAAGAAAATCTTTTTGTTGTTTTGGGTAATGCCCAGTGGTCCTAGGATATTTCTCCCAACCCGTGCTCAGGGATCACTCCAGGCAGTGCTCACTGGACCATATGGTGCCAGGGATTGAACCCAGGACTCCTATATGTAAAGTGTGCACTCCAGCCCATTGAGCTATCTCTCCAGCTCCAGAAGTGAATTTTAACTTAAATTTTAAGGCCTTTGGATTTTTTGGTCGGGTTCTGAATTTTTCCAGTAAACACAAACTATGTGAAGTTCATGGAAATTAGCCACATTTGGAATTGATAAATTTGTTTAGATTCTTTCTACATTTTTTGTTTTTTTCTCCTGCATTTCTTTTTTTTCATTCATGTTGAAGTCTGACAAGCAGAAAAGGATGTGAAATAGT